ATTTAAAAAACTATTGAATTTGAGATTAAAAACACTTAGACCTAGCCCCGGAGCATCGCCCGGGTCTAAGAGCTAGTAAATCATTAGAGATCGAACCAAATAACGTAACGATATTAATCAATCGTGGTTCTACTTATAGAGAACTGAGTAGGTACGAAGACGCGCTCAAAGATTTAAATATATCGTTAGATTTTGAACCTGTTAATGCAATGGCATTAAATAATCGCGGATTACTTTATATTAAAAGTAGAAACGGATAATGAATCAGCGTTACATAATTTTAAAATATATAATCTTTTTAGATTTTTATTGATTTGGTTATTATTAGTTATGTGTATTTGGGGGTATTGGAACTTAATTGTGATAGCTATCATTATTTTATATTTTATAAAGAGATATTCCAGGTCAGTTATTTGTGTTTGGTACAAAATTATTACAATTACATAGATTAATTTATCTATCAATAAACAGACATGAAAAATCACATGAATCATCAAGATATGAACGTGAACAATTGCTTTCCAATTTAAATATCTCAATAGCAATAGAACCCAATAACGTAATGGCATTGAATGATCGTGGACTCACTTTTCTAGAGATGGATAAATATGAAGAATCGCTTTTAGATTTAAATAGATCATTAGAAATCGAACCAAATAATACAATATCATTAAATAATCGTGGAGCCGTTTATTTTAAGATGGGTAGATATAGTGAATCACTTCTAGATATAAACAAATCATTGGAAATTAATCCGAACAGTGACTTAACGTTATTTATTCGTGGAACAACGTATTTTCAAATGGGAAGATATGAAGAGTCACTCGCGGATTTTAATAAATCATTGGAAATTAACCCTGAGTTTGCAGAGGCATTAAATACCCGTGGGTTAACTTATCAAAAGATGGGCAAATTTAAAGAATCTCTCACGGATTTAAATAAATCATTAGAAATCGACCCAGATAAAGCTGGTGCATTAAACAACCGTGGAATAACGTATTATCGAATGGGCAGAAATGAAGACTCATTTGCTGATTTAAATAAATCTTTAGAAATCAATCAGGATTATACAATATTAACTAACCGTGCACTACTTTATCTCATGACAGACCAACTTCAGAAATCTCTTGTAGATTGTAGTAAATTATTAAAAATTAAGCCAAATGACGCAATAGCACTTTATATTCGTGGATCAACTTATCGGGGCATTAGCAGATGTGAAGAATCACTCGCAGACTTAAATAAATCATTAGAAATTGAGCCAAATAACGCGATGACATTAAATAGTCGTGGATTAACTTATAGTCTAACGGGTAGATATAATGAATCACTTATGGATTACATTAAAGCGTTAGAAATCGATCGGAAAATAACGCAGCTATATTAGATAATTATGAAGTTCGCCATTCTATTGCACAAATATTAAGTAATCGCGGCACAGTTTATAAAATGTTGGGCAAATGTAAAGAATCACTTGCAGATTTAAACGAATCATTAGAAATTAAACCAAATTGTGCAATGACATTGAATACACGTGGAACAACGTATTGTCAGATGGGAAGATATGAGGAGTCGCTCGCAGATTTCAACAAATCATTAGACATAAAACCACGGGACATAGTATTGGCTAATCGTGGAATAACCTATCAGCGAATGGGCAGATATCAAGAATCAATTGCTGACTTAAAAAAGGCATTAGAAAATGAGCAAAATGAAGTAATAAGATTTGGAACTTGTACAAAATGTAAACGATGCAATACTGGATTTTTTTTTTGCCATTCGTGTAATACTCAAATAGACCAGGATCAATTAAGTGGAGACGAAGAAATTGATAAGTTTATAAAGAAGGCTCAAAAAAATACGTCGTATTATCATAAGGCAATTGAATGGATACCTTATAATAGATTGAAAAACATTCAAAAAATAGGTGAAGGCGGCTTTGGCACTGTTTATTCCGCGATCTGGATTGACGGTAAGCGAATCTACTGCACCGATCAAAATGGTCAACCAATGCTATCACGTGAAGAATCCTGCACGGTTGCACTAAAGAGTTTAAAAGGAACTCTAAATACTTCAGTGAATTTTTTGAGAGAGGTATCGGTATTTCTTTTTTATTTGACTTATGCAAATTAAACTTTATTTATGTAATAAACTTTATTTTATTTATGTTATAATCAAACTTTAAGTTTAAAGCGCATTACAAATGTCAACTAAGTAGATATGAAGTAGAAAAATATGGAATGGAAACGTATGGAATAACCTGTAATCCAACTAATAATGAATATATGATGGTTTTTGAATATGCAAATGAAGGAGATCTTCGATATTATCTGAGATTAAATTCTACAACTCTTACATGGAGTCAAAAGATTAAGTTTCTTTGTTCGATATCAGACAATTTGGATTTTATTCATCAAAAGTATATTCATGGGGATTTTCACAGTGGAAATATACTCATGTTTAATACTGAAGACTTTTTACCACTATTTTATGAAGTAAATGATAAAGTAGTGATGATTCCAATAAATACTGGTGGCAAATTAAATATCGAACCAAAAATTTCTGATCTTGGTTTGTCTAGAAAAGTAAATACTACCCAAAGTAAAGTAAATGGTATAATTCCCTATCTTGCACCTGAAATATTGTCAGGTCAACAATGTACCAAAGAGTCGGATATTTACGGTTTTGGTGTAATTATGGCAGAAATGTCAACTTGCAAACCTCCTTTTAATGATAAATTGCATGATGTATGTTTGGTGCTTAAAATTCGTGAAGGATTACGACCAGAATTTGCTGCCGGAACACCTCATTGTTATAAACAACTTGCAAATCAATGTATGGATAAAGATCCAGCAAAAAGGCCAACTGCTAAAGAGGTTCATGACAAATTACAGGAGTGGATGTTTATTTTCAACAAAGAAGCGGAAGAATTGAATGAAGTACAACTTGAAATTAAGAATAATTTTTTGAACGCTGATAAAATTATTTTCAAATCACCATCAAGTTCATATAATACATTGGTGTCTCAAAATAATAGTGCAATGGGTAATTAAATTTATCTATTTATGTTGTTAAATTTATTAAAATTATATAAAGTATTAATTTTATTTAACTTTGCAGATTCTAATCTTCAATTTCTTAGAATTGAATAATAATTTTAATTTAACTCTTGCTATACAATTATTATTATACAATTATAATTATTACTAGGAAATCAGAATCTGATGTAAGTCCGAAGCGAATATGCATAGTTGCACTGACTGTAGATCATCACGGGTCCCG